AAAAAAAAAAAAAAAAAAAAGGGACTAACAGTCTGACACCTATGTTGATCTCGTGGCGTGTGGGATACCTAATGGCAATTGGGGGTTATGCCCAGGTTAGCAGGGGCAATATTGAGATCGTGTCAAGCGTGTGACGTGTCATGAATTGATAGTGAGCATACCTGACAGTTGTGCAGTGGTATGCGGAGATTTCATTTTGTCCAGAGATTCAAGGCAATGGCAAATTGCACAAAAGCCCTTCGTTTAAGGGGGGAGGCAGAGTGTATACATGGGTGTCAGGGTGGAGGGGAGGGTGGGGGGGTAGGGTTGGACCCCAGAAAGAAAAATTGGAACCTTGTGTTTGGGGGGGCAAAAACCAAAGTTCTTCGTGACATCCATTAAAACTGGAACTATACAATAGTGGCTGGTGGGTCGGGCTATGGACTATGGAGTTCGCCATTTGGCGTGACCTTGCCGTGCGGGTGGCAGGGTAGTTCCATTGGCGAGACGGCAGATGTCCTACATATTATTGACTTACCGTGAGGGTATGGGTGCCCAGCCCCTAGGTTGTCTGTTGATGTCGCTATACACAACTCCAAGAGTGTGTGTGTGTGTGCGTGCTCCTCTGTGTGTATGTGAGAGTGGTGAGAACGTGTGAGCATGCGTGCACGCGTGTGTGTGTGTGTGTGTTTTGGGTGTGTGCTCATACGCACGTCATACCACGCTTTAACTGTGGATGGTTGAGCTCCGGTATAATGGCCGGCACACTACGGAATCCTAGCAGGGATGGTGAAGTCTGTCAACAATGGAACGAATTATGCAGTGCCACTGGAGCCGAGGCGCTTTAGAGTGTGTCGTAGCCGTGTAAATGGAGCAGTTGCCATACAGTGTGAATGAAAAGTATGAGGAACATATACGTTCGAGGGGTAAGGGGGAGGTGGCAGGGCAGACAATACATAAGCACAGAGGACAAGGAAGGACGGATGTTGGAGGAGGGCACGGGGGAGGCAGAAGGACAAACGCCATACAAACACACCCAACAGACAACCAAAAAAACACAAGTCCCAAGACAGTCAAGGACCGAAAAAAAATAAAAATAAAAAAGCTGGTGATGAAAGATTGTTTCGTCGGAGTTGCACCGACTCATCAGGAGGCTGAACCCTCGACAATCTGCGGAATGCCCGTATTGATGGTTTGGGTCATGCACCCTTTGACCCTTGCTGAAGGCAGACTGTCCCCAAGTTGAACATAGCAGCGGGCACTGGGCAGCAACCCTGCAAAGCATCAGGCAACGCAGTAGAGGCAACACGGCTGCACAACGCCAAAGACGACTGCAAGGAAAAACACGGCACGCAGGACTTGCAGCACAGCAACCAAGAAGTGAAGCACCAGGCAACACCACCAAGCCAACCACACTGCAAGGGACGACAGGGCGAGCGGACACGCAGCAGAGCAACCATGCTGTGAAGCACAAGGCAACACCAACACAGCAACCGAACTACACGGCGCGCAAGCAAACGACACGGAAGGCACGACCAGCGGAAGGGCGGCGAGGCAGCGGAGCAGCGAAGCGCAAGGGAACACCACAACTCGGCCACACCACACAGCGAAGACAGCAGCTTGCCAAGAACGACCTGCGAGGCAAGCGGGACGGGCAGCAAGGCAGTGGTGGAGCGCAGACGAGGTCGTCCACACATCCAACACGGAGCAAAGCAGCACATCACCTACTCACATCACGGGTGAACCCCACAGACTGTTGGTTCCCACCACTCACTGAGCCAGGGAGACACTCCAACGAGCATCCGTCATCACCTACAGGCAACACAGACATCCCGAACTGAGCGGCCCCCATAAGAGTGCAGTAGGCACTCCAAACGAGGAGCCACCGACTGTTTGGCACTACTTAAAGGGGCTCAGTTGGGCATACAAAAATACTTAGAAAAAAATAGGGGAGAAGCGGAAAAACAAACATACCAAAAACTGATTGTGTGTGTGTGTGTGTGTGTGTGTGTGTGTGTGTGTGTGTGT